GAAAAGTCCCTTTAATATGTCATCAACTGCATATTGATTTAGAATCAATACAAAATAATGAATATTCATTAAGAAATTTTTAGTTGTCTATATACTGTGTGTGTGTGTGAGAAAGAGAGAGAGAGGCTATGTCTAGACTACAAGCTTCTTTCAGAATAAGCTTTTCCAGAAGCGATCTTCTGGAAAAGCATATTTCCAAAGAGAGCTTCCACACAGCAAAAGGGCAATGAAAAAGCGATGTGCTATTTCAAAAGATAGTGTCGACACTGATTGGATGCTATCTTGCATTTAAGGCCACCCAGAACCAGCAGGGCATTAGGTCAGCAGTTGCTTCCAGGTGCTGTTGCCTAAGGCTAGCGGAGATGAGTGCTTAAAGGGACCCCCTGGACATCTGCTTCTCAGCTTCTGCTGCTTGCTTGCTTGCTTGCCTACCTCTCTGAGGAACAGCAAATCATTTGCAGCGTGTGCTCTGGTAGCCCAGCTTTTGGACACCACAGCACACTCCTTGTCATGGAGCCGGAGCTGCCTCTGGGCATGCGATGGCCCCACACTGCCATGCTGCAGTTTCTGCAGCAGTTTCTGTAGGCTGCCTTCATGGTCCTGCAGGAGCTCAATACCAAGCTCATCATCGAGACCCTCTTCCTGTGTGGGGGAGCAAGGCCCTTGTAACCACACCCCAAGGTGAAAAATGGTTTTGGAGGCTGGACGCCAGTTCCGACTGGTGGGATCGGCTGGTCATAGAACACTGGGACGACCAGTAGTGGCTGCAAAACTTCAGGATGAGGAAGGCCACCTTCATGGAGCTGTGTGCCTGACTCACTCATGCCCTTCATCGACAGGACACCCAGATGCGACCTGCCACTCCCCTGGAGAAGCGGATCACCATCGCCATGTGAAAACTCACCACCCCAGACAACTACAGGTCTGTGGGCAACCAGTTTGGTATGGGAAAGTCCACCATCATGGCCCTCCTCATAGAGACAAGGAGGCTGTAGTTCCTGACGGGGGGAAGGGAGTACTAGAAAGGGGTACCCTAGGGAAAAGGTGGTGCGGGGGGTGGGCAAGAATCCCTGTCCCCAGGGGGCGGGTGTTTCTGCAATCCCATTCTCTCACAGCCTGCAGTGGAGATGGCCTTATAGGGAGTGGCTCCTGGGGCAGGGGGAGGGGGGAAGGGATAGGGAGGGACTCAGGGACCTCCCAAGGGCTCATCCACCCCCTTTGATTCTCTGTTTTGTGTGTTTCTATGTTTCCTTCTGTAGGTGGTGAGGGCCATCAATGCCATCCTGCTGCGCAGAGTCATCCGTCTGGGAGACCTGGACTCCATCATGGCCCCATTTGGTGCCCTGGGATTCCCCAACTGCAGAGGAGCTATAGATCGAACCCATATCCCCAGCTGAGTACCAGAACATCAAGCCACGCAGCACATTACCCACAAAGGCCATTTCTCAATGGTGCTGCAGGCCCTGGTTGACCAGCGTGGACAATTCATGGCCATTTTCATCAGGTGGTCGGGAAGGGCGCAAACACCTGCATTTTCAGAAATTCCAGTCTCTACCACAAGCTGGAGGCTGGCACATTCTTCTCCAGTGTGACTTTTGGGCTGGGGACGTTCAAATGCCACTGTGCATCCTGGAGGATGCAGCCTATCCCCTCATGCCATGGCTCATGAAGCCATACACCAGCTACCCGGACCCCAGCAGGGACCACTTCAATGCCCATCTGGGCAGGGCCCGCATGCAGGTGGAATGCGCCTTTGGGTGCTTGAAGGTGCGATGCAGGTGCCTCCTAACCCACCTCGATGTGGCGGAGCACATCATCTCTGAGGTGGTCTCTAGGTGTTGTGTTCTCCACAACATTGTAGAAAGGAAGAGGGCCTATTCCAGGGTGGGGAGCAGATGCCAGCAGGGAGGGAAGGGCCTTTGAGCAGCCGCACACAGCTGCTATCCACCAGGCCTATCAGGTGGGGGTGCTCATTTGGGAGGCCCTGAGGGAGAGTTTCTCTAGGATCCCAATATCTCTCCCCAGGGCCTCCCCACTAGGGACCTGTGCCTTCCCCCCATGCCTTTCCCTCAATAACTCTCCCTTCTCCCCTTCCCTATAAAAACAATGGGTTTGTTTTCAAAACATAACTTTGTATTTTGTTTTTCAATAAAAGTAATTGGGAAGGGGGGGGGGCTGAGAACCTGGATAGAGGGAGGGAAGAGGGGAGCTCAGAACCTAGATAGGGAGAGGGTGATAAGGGGCTCAGAGCTGGGGCTGGGAGTGGTACAGCTGGAAATTCCGCCTTAGGTCCAGGGACCTCAGCAACATGGGGGGCCAGGGACAACAGGAGGATAGACAGGAGGGGGGGCTGGAGCAGGGTCAGGCATGGTGGGGGGAGGAGCAGCGGCTGGCATGGCAGGAGAGGGGGCATAGGCATGGCAGGGGGAGAGTAGGAGCAGGAGCCAGGTAGGCCATCATCTCCTGTATGGTGGCACACGTTTTGGCCCTATTGCACCAGCTGAGCCCACATTTGGGTCCACCACTGGGCGTCATCCCAGACCTTCTGGGCCAGGGTCTGCTGTATGTCCCAGAGGACACTGACGTTCTCCCTCATGAGGTCTTCCTGGACCCTCCAGCACTTGCTGTTTCCCCGGGACAGGTGACTGCCTCAGCTGGTGGTGATCACCCCTTAGTCATGGCTGGTCCTTCTGTGGAGGATACAGAGGGAGAAGTGGTCAATCATCCATGAAGACACTGTCCTTGAGCCCTTGCCCCTTCTCTGTGAGCTGCGAGCTACAGTCCTCGAGACACAGGATGGTGATGTCCTGGGAGCAAGACCATGGGTAGACTGGACAGCAGGCAAGGGAAGTGTCCGGACACAGCAGGATCCCATGGGTGGGAGAGGGGCCTGGAGCAGCCTGGCCTTCCACAAGGGCTGCACACACACCTGCACCTTGCAGCACTGTTTCCGGGAGTGGGTGGTGCCTCGAATGTACAGGCATGCCCATGTGCAGCACTACAGAGTGTGTTTGTGGGCATGTGTGTGCCCTCATCCCCAACCTCCTTCCAGTGGTGGCTGGTGGTGGAAGGGTGTCCCCCTCTGGGGTCAGACATGTGCGTGGCCTCCCCAAAGCCTGTGAGCAGGAGCCCAGGGGTGCTCCCGGGCTGCCTTGTGGGACTGCATGGTGCAGACTGGCACTGCACGTGCTTCCACATGCACGGACTGCAGTGCAAGGGCCAGGCCGAGAAGGCTGAGCAACGATCGTTCCTCAGCACCCGCCTCCCCCACCCTGTGTGCATGAAAAACTAAGAGCACTCACCTGATTATCCCTCTCCGGCCACGGAGGCTGCCTGGGAGACATCCAGGCCCTGGCGTATTGGCTCCAGGGTGAGGGTGACAATGCTGACCATCTCCTCCTCCAGCTTATCGTCGTCCTCCTCTTCCTCTTGGCCTGGGAGCCCTGGGTGGGCAATGACGAGTGTCTCCAGCCCTGAGTTGATGACTGCGTATGGGGAAGGGGCTGGACCACCCCCCAGGATGCAGTGGAGCACATTGTAATAGGGGTAGAAGAGGGGGTCCTGCCCAGAGTGAGAGCTGCACTCCCTTGTCCTGGCATACCCCTGCCGCAGCTCCTTCACCTTGCTGTGGACCTGCTCAAGGCTCCTGGAGTGGTGGCCTCTCATGGCCAGAGCCTTGGCCATCCAGCTGTATATGTCTGTACTTTCTGAACAAAGTTTTTTTCCCTTTATTTCCCTTCCGGAGAGGCAGGATCTCCACCCCAGACCAGGATGGAGCACGTCTTTTTGTGCCCCTGGCTGGGTTCTGGGAGCCCTGTGCACATTCCCTGTGAGGGCCAGTGGGCTTTCAGGTGAGTTGAGGGTGGGCCATGGCTCAGGAGCAGTGTGGCAGTGTCAGCTGCATGGTGAGGTGCAACTTCCAGTGCCGGCTTCTTGCTGCAAGCCTTGTCCCAGGTGCCTGTAGCTTTAAGAGCTGGCAGGAGACAGGAACTATAGAGTTCTGATGAGTTTGGACAGAGTGGCCACCAGGGCATCTGTGTTATTTCCCAGAGGCCTCTTTTTTCAACAGAACTCCAACTTCCGCAGCTACACATGCCTTTTTCGGAAAAAGCCATTTCTGGCACATATATTTGTACTTCTTACAAACCACAGAAAATAATCTGTTCTATAGAAAAATATTAACACATTGAATACATTATTATTTTACACTCATAAAAGTAACTATTACCACCTCACATTTTAAAGTCAGAGATAACTAGTAATAATGTCAATCTTAAGACCTTCTATCAATAATAATTTTATGGACTTTCTGAAAAATTCAACAAGGTTTCCTTTATGGTATGTAGTTACAGTTTTCAGTTCCTATATTCAGAGATTCTAATCATAACAAGTTACAAATATTTAGAAAGCTTAGCAACAAAGTATTTTAATAGTAATGCAAGCTCTCAGTATGAAAAAACATTTAATAAATGTAGTTAACTATACCATGAAAATACCTCTTCCAAATGTAATTTTAAAATCTGAATGTAATATGGGTATAATTTAGGAAAATGACATATTTCTTTTAAAATATAACGATGAGGTTTAAGCATAGTTATTAATTGGTGAAGTAATACCATAACAAGAAACCTTCAAAATTTCCAGTTCTTACATCTACATAATTGTTACTCGTCTTCTTGATATTTTTTATTCTTGGCTTATTTAAAACATCTATTTATACTACAAGTTCATTCTTTTCATTTTTGCTACAGTAATCTTTATATTTGATTTGATCTTTAATTAGGCTTAGGCTGGGAGGCCTAACAATTGGGTATAGCTTCATATTAATAAATAACATTGCATCTGGACCAGAATGGAGATGAGACTGAATGATTTGAAAATAGCTATTGGCTTCCGCAGGACTATTCATATGCTTAAAGTTAAGCATGAGGTGAAATGCAGCTTTGAATATAAAGTGTCAGCAAAATTAGGTCTTAAATGAATAAATTAAAATATCTTACATGATTAGTTTTTTGTAATGGTCCATTTCAACTGTTGCTTCCTGAAACTTGAGTCCAATTGTCTCCACTTGATTTGTTAAATCTGAAACAACAAAATATATCTGTTTTTTTTCTGTACAGTATTTGTATCCCCATCATTTGTTTTATGATATGTTATGGTATTTACTAATATGGTGTGTTATATTTGCCTTTCACTTAGGTAGCTAGCTGCTCTTTAGAGAACAAAACAAAAACAAAGCAAAAAACAAATAACCCAGTAAAATTAATTGACTGACTGTGATAACTGATATTGACATTGATAGTCTCTAATTATAAACTTTATTTTAATTAATAATTGGGCTTCCAATAATCCCAGTAATTAATAATGCAAAGTATCTACCTTCCTCAAGAAGATTTCATTACTTTTTTGTTGATTTGTGATTGCTAATAAACAGAAAATAATATATACTTGGGTTCCATATAAAAAACAACGTAGATTTTATTAGAGCACCTAGGGTACGTATAGACTACCGGGTTTTGTCGACAGAAGTTTTGTCGACAGTAACTGTCGACAAAACTTCTGTCGACAAAGAGCGTCCAGACACATTGAGTTCTGTTGACAAAGCAAGCTGCTTTGTCGACAGAACCCTGTAGTCTAGACGCAACCCTACAGGCAATAACACCTTCTGTCGACAGAACTCTGTTGACAGAAGGTGTTATGCCTCGTAAAATGAGGTATACCAGC